AGTGTTCCAAATTTATACATTTTAGATATTTATAATTACCGGCTTTAAAGTATCATTGCTTAATTTTTTTAACTTAATTTTTATACGTATTTTAAAGTATAATATCATGTATCTTTTTACTCTGTATGTGAAAAATATGGAATTGCGAAAACGTCAGTAGTACTTTTTTAAATTGTTTTCGTGTGGACGTTTCGTGTGTGAATAGCATCAAAACTGTAGAAAAATTGTGTTATATAAGGAATACTTGTTCGTGTATTTCTATAAATGTAAGTATTTATGCTTAATTATCATTTCTAATGTTTTTATCTTTCTCATTGTTGTTTTCACAAACATCGAAGTAAATGAGTAGAATGTAAAAATCAGATATTAAAAAATATGCAGAATGATGTACAATTGTTCGAAATATTCGAATATTCCATTAACATTGAGTATACATATACTTTTACGTTGAGTAGTATTTAGTTGAGCGTTCTTATGTGCCAGTAATAAGAAGTGGTTTTTCTCTGTGAACAAGCTCGTTTTTACTGGTACGATTAGCGTGTAGATCCGGTAGCATTTCTTCCTTAGTCGTCATGTTACCCGCGGCCTGTATCCGACCATAAATTATCAAGAAAATTTTTTCATACTTCTTGTTTAAAAATAGCTAATTTTTACTTCATTCGTATGCTGTATACTTTAATAAGTGCAAGTAGACATAAAAACGGTGTAATCTTGCATGTATAGTGTAGCAATCTCGACGTAAATGCAGCCGGTGCATGATAAACATTCTTTACTATAAAGTACTTTCTTTTCATGAGTTTAACTTCATAAATGCAATTTATTGATCTAGAATCTCAGCCTTTTATCGTATTTTTACTAGCAACAATAAAATATACAGTAATAATATAATATAAGCATAATAGGGACAGCAGTTCGTAACAATAATTGCTCGAAAATGATTTAATTCAAATTGTAATGACGCCTCCTATCGGCAATGTTTTCCCTTGATGTTCAATAGTTTGAATTTTCGCGTCTCTTCATCACTAAATGAAATTATGAGCTACTTGTTACATTATATTTGTTAGAAAAGTAAATAAAATGAAGAATCTGGACTTATAATCCAATATTAGTCAGCGCATGGAAGAAAATAGAGAACCACGAAGAACCTTATTTCTTTCGTTTCGATATGCATTCTCTATAAAATCGTGCATAATTTTCAAAAATTCAAATGCATGTCAAAATTGAAAAAAGATTTCAAACATTAAAAATAAAGATAAAGTGTATAAAAAGAAAAGAAAACATCTATAAAAATTG